TCCATGGTTCACCAGGTGGCTGGCTTCCTGTCAGACAGGGCCTGCCTCCAGCACTGGGCTTGTCGGAGCTGTGGTTGTCACTGCCACAACCATCATCATCACTGCCATTTACTGGGTTTTTATCCAGTATGTGCCTGGTGCTTCTCATATGCTTTTTAATGTCATCCTCACAACAGCCCTAAGAAGTGGTGGTGGTAGTAGGTGCGGTCAAGTCGGCTCCAACTCACAGCAACTCTGTGTTCAACAGAACAAAACCCCGTCCGGTACTGCCCCATCCTCACAGTCATTGCTACGCTGGAGCCCATCGCTGCAGCCATTGTGTCAATCCATCTTGTTGAGGGTCTGCCTCTTTCTTTGTTGACTTTCTACGTTACCAAGCATGGTGTCCCTCTGCAGGGACTGGTCCCTCCTGATAACATGTCCAAAGGACATGAGAGGAAGTCTCTTCACCCTTCCTTCTAAGGAGCATTCTGCCTGTGTTTCCTCCACTGTTACCAAACCAAACCAAATCCATTGCTGTCAAGTCGATTCCAACTCATAGCGACCCTGCAGGACAGAGTGGAACTGCTCCAAAGGGTTTCCCAGGCTATAAATCTTTATTGAAGCAGACTGCCTCATCTTCTCCCATAGAATGGCTCGTGGGTTCGAACTGCTGACCTCTCGGTTAGCAACAGAGCATTTAACCAGTGTGGTACCAGGGCTCCCACCTGGCTGCTATCAGTGCCCCATTTTACAGCTGCAGAGACTGAGGCTGGAGAGGGTCAGACAAGCTGTGGTTACACAGTGAGGAGGTGGCAGAAGTGCTCCTGGGGTGACTGTTCCCGAGCCGAGCTCCCTTGCTACCTCAAGGGCCCCTGGGGTGCCTGGCCTCGGACCTCTGCCATGCCCAGCACTGGCCCAGCCTGTCATGGTGCTCAGGAAGGATGGACCACTGAGTCTGGAGGGTGGAGGGTGGTCCGGAGAACACGCGACTCCCCAACCACATGTCCTTAGCACCTCAGTGTCCCATTCTGTGAAATGAGCCACTTAGGTTGGACCATCTTCAAGGTCTCCTCTGGCTTCCGGGTTCCCACGTGCTTAGTTCTAAGTGGGTTTGGGCAGCTGATCTTTATGTTGATATTTATGAGCTCAGCATGGCCCTTAGAGCTGAGCCTGGGGCTCTGGCCAGTCAGAGAGGGAACACAGTGGATCAGTGTCCAGCAGATGAGGCAGTCACGGTGTGAGAAGGTGTGCCGGTGTTTCATAAGGGCCCTGGCTGCAGGCTCTGCTGAGGTCTGGCCTTAGCACCATCACACTGACGTCACTGGCCAGACAGAGGGAACTAGTGAGGCTGGCCACGTGCCTCCCTGCCCTCCCAGGCCTGTGCTCTTCTCTCTAGCAGAACTTTGGATGCTGATGACACGCCATGTGTGCTGCTGCCCCACAGAGCATCACTGGAGAATTCAGGGCACCCACAAGGCAGGGCAGCAGGCTGGCCATCAGCCTGCTGAGAGGTCGCCCCTGGTCAGTGGGTGGGAAGGAGGAGCTGCTTGGAAAGACCGTGCCGGAGCCGCGAGCAGTTCATGGTCTGACGATGAGCTTGATGAGTTGGGGGTTGCCCTGCCTAGGCCTGCACTGACCTTCTCCTTGCCTCCATAGCAGCACCAGGGAGCTGAGGCCAGGTACTGCCGTTACCTCAAGTCATGGCTGAACTCGAGGACAGTAAGAGGCTGGCCCCTGGTCTTCTAGCTGTCAAGGGTAGCTACAGGAGTCCAGCCCAGGGCAGCCATGGGGCCTCGTGCAACTCTGTGAGGGCCAGCCTACGGCAGAGCAAATAAGAAAGCAAACCCAGGTTTCTCCATGATGTTGGCGAAGTCATTAAGCCTCTGGGATGCTAATCCCAGAAGCTGACCTGGCCAGCCTTTGGCCTTTCCCTTCCACCCGTGAACCCGCTCAGCTGTGGCCTCCTCCTTTCCTCTCCTGTGGAGGGCGCTTCCCATGGGTGGCGAAGTTGCGAGATTTGGAGTCACTGTCTGGTCTCCCAGATCCCACCTCCCTTTAAGCTCCCCAGAGGAGGGCCTCAGATAGGAGCAGGGATGAGGGGAGAGCCTGGAGCAGGGTTAGCGGGGAGCAGGACCCCCCCCCGGATTTCACAGCACCGACTGGGGACTGGTGGGTGCTGTGGTGGAGAGTGCTGAGTGGGCCGAGAGACCTCACCCCGGAACCAGCGGCCCAGCTGACTGGACGTGGTCAGTCAGGTGCGCCCAGCTGTGAGGTGCGTACCTGCTGGGCACCCGGCAGACAGGTTTAGGGAGGGATTCTAGAGTGTATCCAGTGAGACTGGCATGGGAAGGGGTCACTTCCTGCCCGGCCAGGAGGGCCTTGTGCTGTCCTTACTGGCAGCCTGCCCCCCAGGAGGCCCTGGCTCTCGCCAGCGGGTGTGCCCTCGGCCAGCCCAAGAGGGCAGGCTGTGGTGCCGTCCAAGGTCGCGCAGGGTGTCTAGTAATTGTCCTCGCGCTTTACCTGTTACGGAGCAGTAATGAGAGGGTTTCCATTATTTTCGGGTGAGCGCTTCTGGCAGATGCTGACAGCCAGCAGATGTGTGAAGTCGGGGGTGATTTGTAAGGGGACGCGTAGTGATTGCACCGGGCAACACTGTCACTCAAAGGCGCGTCCTGGCCTTGGGCACGAGGTAAAGGTCAGTTCACAGAACTGGGGTGACTGAAGGAAGTGGATGGATCCCCACCCCACAGGCTCCTGGGGAGGGGGCGGCTTCTGGGGCAGCCCCCCACTCCCTGAGGTTCTTGGGACTTGCTCCCCTAGGGGCCTGACTGTGGGCTGTGGCAGTGCCCTGACGCCCTGCCTGGCCTGGCTTTCCCACCATTCCGGCATCATGTGTGCCAGCCTCCCAGTGCTGAGTCCCAAACGTCCAGCAAGGCTCCACTAGAAATGCCCGTGATTTGGGGTCTTTGGCCGCTCAGGATGTTGCCTGTTACAGGACCCATCGTTGCCCATGGTGGGCCCCCACCGCACACCCAGGTGCCACACCTCATACCTTTAGAGCTTCACCTGCCCACAGACACCCTGGGACAGAGCCTGCTGGGTGTCTGGGGCCACAGAGCCCTTGCTCAGGGCGAGGGCTTCCCCTCCCGGGGGCCCAGGGTCCCTGGCTGGCCTGCAAATGCGGGGCAGGGTGTGGGGCTTATTGGCTCTGCTATTCACAAGCTGCACGATGTCGGCCAGGTCTGTGCCTCCAGGTGCCTCAGTCTGTGCTCCTGTACATTGGGGATAATGGTTCCTCTTCATAAGCTCATTTCCTTGGTGAGCACCACCTGTGTGGATTTTTGTTTTTTAATAGTACCTCATTGTTTTGTCTTATTTTTAACTCCCATTCCCCCCTCCCAGCCCAGGATCAGTAATTACTAATTCTTGGATCACTCTGCATTGGCCTGTTCTACCTGTCTCTTATGTGTGGGGTCATACACGCCTGTCCTTCTGGCGTGCCCAAGGTTCATCCATGTCGTACCAGTGCCAGGACTTCTTTCTTCTTTGTAACTGAGCAAACACTTTGTTGACTGTGTAAACTGCATTTTGTTTATCCATTCATCCATCTGTCTGGACACTTGGGTGGTTTCTGCCTTTGGCTTTTGTGAATTGTAATGTTTTACTAACAAGAGTTAGGAGAAGTCGTTTTGAAAAATGAAGAAATGCCCTGAGACTCTCCCATGGAGGCCCAAACCATCAGGAGAGGGGTGTCAGGAGGGGGTGGTTGGTGGCACAAGTGGACAGGACCCGAAGGAGAGGGCCTGGCCCGTGTCTTCTGCCCCAGTTTTCGGGGACGGACTCCAGCCCTAAAGTGAATACTCGGGTTGAAGAGGCCTGTCTTTGAGATGGACATTTGCTGACATTCAGAGGAAGCCGTGTCGTTGGCATCCTCCGGCGTGTTCTGTTGTCTGTGCACTTTTGTACCCACGTCTGAAGTTGTGTTTGCAATGGCAGATGTGAGGCACTGCCATCTCCCCGTCACACCGATTGCTCACTGTTCTGGGAAGGTCACATCATGATTCATTAGCAGTAATTAGTCCCCCGGGATCCCGGCATTTCTTCACTCAACTGCTCCATTAACTTGGGTGCGAATCACACATTCCAGGCACCAATCAATGAAGATCTATCTGGGAGGTACAAGGGGACACTATTAGTTACAATATATTAACTGTCTAATTTCAAAATAAAAAAGCTACCTTTGTGAAGGGCAATTAACCACTAAGTGTAATTGATAATTCATAAACCTCTGATTAGGAAAGACAAATAATAACAAAGGGACGACTCGCCTGGGTTACTGAAGACGACTTGGCTGCCTCGCAGGCCACATTCACTCCAGTGCCAGTGAGTCGACAGAAACCGCACCTGTCAGCTCCAGGGCTCAGGGCTGACGGTCATGTGATGTGGGACACCTGTCTCGGTTTCCACAGGGGCTGGTGAGGGGCCGCAGCCTGGGGAGCACCACCCTCGGGGAAGCAGGGACGTGGCTGTAAGGGTCAGGGCTGCTCTCCAGTCATAGTGAGTGCAGATACTTGGCGGGAGTGAAGCTCTGGTGTTCGGTGCAGAACCAAGCCGACCTGTCCCTGGCCTCATGGAGACACAGGCCTGGAGGAGGCAGATGGACAAACACATGCAGCAGAGGCTTGAGATAGTGGTTATTGTTGTAAACAAAACAAGAGAAGAGTGTGGCAGATACAGGCAGGGTGGGCACAGCATCAGCATGGTAGGAGAGGGGACATTCGGGACCTGCTGCCTTACCCTGCTGCTGTCGTCACTAACCACAGTTCTGACGCTATTCAGAGTCTCCCTCACCCCAGTAATGGGGTGGAGCGCCTGATCCACCCCTTCTCGGTGACCCTCCTGGGACGCCCACAGCTCATTTTGTTCCCTGCTTCGTTTTCCCCATCCACCCTCCACGTGTCCCCACTCAGAGGCTGCACTGTCCTGCCTGTAGACACACCCACCCTGCCTCCCCACAGACTGAAGCGGTCCCAGCTGAAGGTTCGGTTCTGCACCAACGAGTCACAGCGGTCCCGCCGGGAGCTGGTGGAGCTGCTTCGGAGGCTGGGCTTTGATGTCTGCGAGGGGGAGGTGACCGCCCCGGCCCCCGCGGCCTGCCAGATCCTGAGGGCACGAGGCCTTCGGCCACACCTGCTCATCCACCACGGTAGGCCTGCGGCCCGGGGCTGGGGTGTGAAGGCGCCACTTCTCCAGGGTGGGAGAGGGGGAGGCCTCCATGCTCCCGTGGACCAAGCCACAGAGGTGACCTCGGGTTCTTCCTGCCACTGCCGCTCGTGGGCCTGTGGGTGGACAGCCTTGTGGTGCTCGTTTGGACCCGGCCACCATCCACTCCCCAACCTTAACACCACACAGGGCCTGGTGGCTGCTGCGAGGAAGCACCCATGCTGGCTTTCTTTGACTTGAGAGGAGACCATGGGGCAGGGAGACCGCCAAGGGAGACAATTCTAGCTCACGTTGCAAGAAACTGAGAGAGAAAAAAAATGAGAGAGAGAGAGAGAAAGAACAAGAGAGAGAGGGAGGAAGAGAGAGAAAGGATGGGTTGAGCTGGTGGCTGTCTAACCTGGCACTCATAGCCTGAAGTGCTCTTGGTGGAAAGGCAGCCCAGCGACCTGGGTGGCTTGTGACAACGGGAGCAACAACTTGGTCTCCTGGTTTTGCTCTGAATGCAGAGAAGAGCCCCTTCCACCCTCTGTGGAGTTTTTCTGGAACAGAGCAGGGGGTGCAGTCCTGCCTGGTGCCCTCTGAATATTTGACCACAGATGTTAGCACCCTTCAGAACTCCCCTCTCTTAGAGCTTGTTCCTGCCTTAATTCGCACTTGGTACCTGATTTTCACAACATACCGGTGGAGGTGGCCTGCTTCTCTCCCACGGGCAGGATGGGTGCTCAGCAATGGGGTGCTCATGGGGAGCCCGAGTGTGGGATTCATGGCCTGGCCTCTAGAAATCGTGTCTCAGACCCTCCCTCAGTGACTTGGGGCTCCTGCCAGTGCCCTTAGAAGTCCATCCTGCAGGACCTCTCACCAAAATAGGGATAGAAGGGAAATTCCTCAACATAATAAAGGGCATATATGCAAAGCCAATGGTCAACATTATTGTTAACAGAGAAAGACTCAAAGTATTCCCCTTATGAATAGGAACCAGACAAGGATGCCCTCTATCACCACTCTTAGTTGTATTGGAAGTCCTGGCCAGGGCATTAAGGCAAGAAACAGGAATAAAAGGTATCCAAACCAGCGAAGAGGGAGTAAAGCTATCTCTGTTTGCAGGTGACATGATCCTATACATAGAAAACCCAAGAGACTCAGCAAAAAAACTACTGGAACTATGGAGACGTTCAGCAAAGTGTCAGGATACAAAATCAACATACAAAAATCATTTGGATTCCTCTACATCAACAAAGAGTTCTCTGAAAAAGAAGGGAAATAATACCATTTACAATAGCTACCAAAAAGATAAAATATCTAGGAATAAATCTTACCAGAGACACAAAAGACCTATACAAAGAAAACTATAAAGCACTACTACAAGAAACTACAAGGGATTATATAAATGGAAGAACCTGCCCTGTTCATGGATGTTGTTGTTGTTGTTGTTATGTGCCGTCGAGTCGGCCCCGACTCATAGC